TGGGGAGGGACGTGGTGCTGAGGGTGGCAGCGATGGCTGGGCACGGCGGCGGGGTCAGGGCACGGTGGCAGTGGGCTTGCCGAAGCCGTGCTGGTCTCTGCCTGGTAACTCACGTTCCCCACCTCATCCCAGCGTCGGGCAGCGGCAGCTCGTGTGCCTGGCCCGGGCCCTTCTCCGCAAAGCCAAGATCCTCATCCTTGACGAAGCAACAGCAGCCGTAGATCTGGAAACGGATCACTTAATCCAGACAACGATCCGCAGTGAGTTCGCTGCCTGCACGGTTCTTACCATCGCCCACCGCCTCCACACCATCATGGACAGCAACAGGTACTGCGGGGCGAGGGGGACGGGGCTCTGGGCTCCCAGGATGGGGCAAGAGGAGGCCGGCAGCAGAAGGAAGGACGCAGCCAGAGGGGCAGGGGTAGATGCAGTGCCCGGGATACCAACGTACAGAGCTTGTAGGCGAGTAGGGCAGGGGAGTGGAAAGGATGGCCACGCGGTAGTTATGCCTTTGGGGGGAGGAATATTTTTTGGGATCCTTCTTTACAGCAACAGGCCACAGAAGAGTTGTTGACACCTTACATGTGTCACCCCGCAGCACAAGGCACGGAGCTGTGCTGAGATGAACGGTCCGCTGTGGCGGTGGGAGCAAGGCTGTAGTGCTGGCACCAGCAGTACTGCCTGCTCAGATCCCAGCTCAGGCCTTGTCCTTCCCTGCTTCCAGGGTGATGGTGCTGCAGGCCGGGAGGATTGTGGAATACGACAGCCCTGAGGAGCTGCTCAAGAAGCAGGGCATCTTCTTCATGATGGCGAAGGACGCTGGCATCACGAGTGGAGAAAGCACCACGCTGTAGGTGGAGCAGAGGAGCGTGCGGGGGCAGCTCCCTCCTGCTGGCGCTCGCTGGGCTGCCCAGGAATCCCTCTCTGCCGCTGGGAAGCGGATTCTCTGGCGCTAGGGAGAGAGGATCTGGACTTGACTGAGCTGTCAACCTTGCTACCACGCACTGCCTGCTGTGCACAGGAGGGCTTGGAGCTACGTGATTTATTCCAGGATAGAGGGGAAAATTCAGCTGTCAGGCAGGGAGACCTCGGCCCCTGGGCGTCTGAGGTTTTGTACTTCACTGTGCCAGGGAAATCTCGCTGAGAGATGCTGTAGCACTAGGGAATGAAATTTAGTTATAATCTAAGACAGAATGTTGTAATTTATGTACTTTTTGTAACTGTTGCTAGTCTTCCAACTAGAAGTTTAACTTTAAGGCATGCTAAATAAACCTCGTTTACCCTTAAACCTGGCTGGTGTTTGGGGGAAGCCGGTTACACACGTGGGTGGGGAGTCCAGATGGAGTGGATACGCTACACCCTGGCATGAACACTACCCTGGCAGGGGAGGAGAAGTCAGGGCCTGCCTGCCTTCCCTCGCGACAGCTCCCTTTGATTGCAGCGCAGGTAAACAAGGCGGGCCCTGGGGCTGTTGTAACCACCAACGGGGCAGATTTTTGGTTGTGGCTCCAGACTATGAGCCTGACTGTAGAGGCAAACTGGAGTGGTGCAGCAGGCGTGCCTGCCCCACTGATGTGCACACACGACACACGGTGGTTACCGTTGCCAACTCCTGATCCTTCCTTTTTCTTGGGCATGGAAGTGAGGAGCTGTGGCACTGAGAGCGGCTGCAGGCATGCCCACGTGCACACTGCTGCTGCCCACCCACCAAGACCCCTGCAGACCCCTGAGGCTGGCTGGTGGCAGGAGGGACACAAGCTGCCCGCAGCCCCATCTCAGTCACCTAACGCGTGCGGGGCAAGGGCAGTGCAGTCACTTCATCCCAGTCATGAACGTTCCTAAGAGGGATTCCTCACGCCTGAGCTGCGCAGCTGGCACAAACACCAAGGCAGAAGCAGGCTGGACCCTATGGAAAGGTGAGCGTTCTTCCTGGCCCTGCAGGGTCCACGGGCTTGGCCAGGGGCTGCTCCCAGCTCTCCCAACACTTGCAGAGCCACGTGCTATACACAAGGGCAAATCTTTATTTACAGAGCAGCAGTACAGGGGACACAAACATCACCCCATGGGGAAAGGAGCCACGCTCCCTCAGGGCATGGCAGCAGTGGGTAAGACACACCATCCCAGCAAGGGGCACTACATCCCTCCCAGGGAAGGCCTTGCCCTCCCGGAACATCCACATCACCTCCAGTGCCCTGCAGGAAAGTGCAGGTGAGGCAGTACTGGTCAGAGCCTCCCAGAAAGTCAGGTTGGAGGGCAGCATGTGCTTTGCCTTCTGCCCTGCCCCAGCCCAGAGCAGCCAGGTGGGCATGTCAGCACCAAGATGGGTCTTGGGCACTGGAGACACTGCACTGACAATGATGGCGTTCTGGATCTCTGGCTCACCTGGGAGAGGAGAACCCCAAGAGCTGCTGCTAGCAGGAGAGGTCCCAGCCCCGGGGAGACCAAGCACAGGGACAAAGCACCCACTGGGGGCTCTGCTGTGGGGGCTGTCGGAGGCTGGGCCCATTCCAGCCCTGGAGCTCAACTACACCCAGTGAATACCAGAGCCGCTTCCCAAGGCAGCGTGTAGATGCCACACCTGAGGTCCTGCACTGACAGGTGAGACCAGGCTCCTGCTGCTGAGAAGGCACAGGGAGAACATTCACCGGGCCTGGGTTGCTTTGAACACTAATTGGCTGAAGATGGACTCTGGAAACTCAGCATTAGCCTTCCACCACTTAAACCCACAGCAGCTCCTCAGCCTTGGTCCAGCCTTTCCCTCCTGAGTCCCCACCCCACGCTTCGTTTGCCCGCTTCTGGCAGGACAAGGAGGATCAAACAGCACAGGGTGAAGGCAACTTGCTCCTGCCCTAACACAAGCTGCCTGCTCTGCCAGCCCACCCTCCTTCCTCCCCAGAAGGGGAAGTGGCAGCCAGCGTGGTGGGGCCCAGGAGCGCTGTGCAGCCGCGATGGACACAGCCTTGGGGCGAGCAGCAAGGGCTGCAGGGCTGGCCAGCCTCCCCAAGGCCCCTGGCAGGGACAGGGCACGGGGTGCAGGCTCCTGCCCATGGCCTCACGTGTACTCTGTCTTCCGGATGTAACTGGAGGGCACGTAGCCCTGCCTCCCGTGCGCCTCGGCCAGCCACCACTCGCGATTGCCTGTGATGTCCTCAAACTGCAGGATCCTGAGTCTCTGGTTAGCTGACACGCTCAGCTCGTTGCTGTTTCGGCCTTTGAAGGTGTAGAGCGCGTAATAGACCTGCCAGACAGAGGGAGATCGTAAGCTGGGTGGTCAGTCCACACTGCCTTGCTGTTGCACAGCACAGGATGTGTAGGCTTTTGCTCCTTTCCGCAAACAGCCCCAGCCCTAGCCTGGCCTCTCACAGAGCTGCCCCCACCTGCCCACCCCGATTTACAGCCTCGTTCTCTGCTGCTGGCAGAAAAGGTCTCATCCTCTACCATAGCCCTTTGGGACAAAGCAGCTTGCACCTCCCCTCTCCCTGGTTGCTTCCAGGGAGGAGGATGAATTCAGCCGCCACTCAAGCAAGGGGGTCAGCCCTTGGGATTTCCAGCCCCGGGGTCACTGGGGGCTCACCTGGTTGCCCTCTGACTCACTGCTCTCCAGCCCAGAGTCTCTGTCCTCCACCGAGGGTGCAGGCCCAAGATGTGCTTTGGAGGGGTGCCCGTTGCGAGAGCCGGGGCTGCAGCTCAGCTCGGGGCGGCTGTAGCGGCGCTGAGACATCACGGTACCAGCCTCCAGCGGGGCTGTCCTGTCACCAGAGCCAAGCTGGGGCACAGAGGCGCAGTCTGTCTCACAGGGGGGCTGCGGGGACTGATACGGGTCTGCTGGGGAGGCCGGGTCCTGCAGGGGTTTCTGAGTGAAGGTGATGGCTGTCCCACTGAAGGTCAGTGTGGTGCTGCTGCGGGGAGAAGAGCTGCTGTGCTCTGACTCGTTGGAAGAGTGGCTGGTCACAGAGACGTCCGACTGGCTGCGGCGCGGGTTGTAAGGCTTCAGAAAGGAGCTGTACACAAAACCCTTGGTCACTGCAGAGGGAGAGGAAAGCAGCTCAGACTTGGGTGCAGGGGGACCAGAGGAGGGGAGTCGCAGCAGGTGCTGAGGGCATGCAGCCACCTACCCCCGTTGTCTATGAGCCAGCGATTCTGGCTGCCCATGGGATCCTTCTTCTTGATGACACCCACGATGTCTCCTTCCAGCAGCGAGACATCCAGGTCTTGGGCAGCATTGAAATTGCGGTCTGCCTGGAAGAGACTGTCTGGGGGATAGCGGGCCAGGAGGGTGGCTCGGATGTCATCCGACTGCAGGAGGTAGCTGGGCTGCAGAGGAACAAGACAGGTGTGAGTGGTTGTCCTGGGCTCTGCAAGCCCTGACCCGGGGCTGAGGGAACTCACCAAGCCAACAAGGGGCTGCCGCCGGGCAGACTGCCGCTCCACACTTTTCCTTTCAAAAGGCTTCTTGGGCGCTGCCTGGGACTCTGGGAAGAAGGTGAAGGCTTGGAGCTGCTGGAGGACTCGACTGTGCTCATCCTGGAAGACGGCAATGAGGTTCCCCTCCCTGCCGGACACCTTCAGCAGCTGGAACCAGAGCAGGGTTGAGGGTCACGGTTAGGTGACAGCTGCTGGGAAAAGTGGCCAAGAGCTACAGCAGAGACCCTGCCACCTCCCAGGCCAAGTGGGGCTCTAAGCCCTGCCTGTGACTTGCTACAGGTCCAGATTTTCCATCCTGTCTGGATCAAGTTCCGAGTGGTCCCCCAAATCAAGACATGAGATTCTCCCAAGGCAAATGCTCTCCTGCCACTCCTCCAGGAGCAACCTGAGCCTTCACCACCTCTTTGCACAATTGCATCATGACCTTGCAATCCCTGCCCTGACAGCATCCCACAGGAGCCCTCCCGCAGTCGCTCTGGCCTGAAACTGCAGCAGCAGCTTCCCCTGCTCAGGGACAAGCCCTGCAAAAAAGATCAGCACTGCACTGAGCCCAGCAGGCTGGCTGCGCTCTGGGAACCCACCGATAACAGGGGCCTCAGCTCCTCCAGGGCCAGGCGCACAAAGTCGCAGTGAGCCTCGGCATAGCCCCGCACGCAGCTGGCAAACAGCTCCTTGGCGAAGCGCAGGAACTTGGGCAGCTCATCCAGCAGCTGGGCATTGAGGGCCTCATAGTTGTTGCGGGCTGACTGCAACTCCTCCAGCGTTCGCTTGTCCTTCAGCTTTTCCGCTCGCTCTGTGCAGTTGTGGAAGTCAAGGAGCTTGTCGAAGCGTTTCTGCACCAGCTTGTGGGGCCCTGCAAACATGCTCAGCAGCTGGGTCAGGGGCGAGGTTCACCTCGGGGGGCGCCCCCCCCAGCCGCTCTGTCCGCTCTTTCTGGTGGGCAGAGATGCAGACAGCAGGTGAGACGAGGTGCTCTCTCCCACCGTGCAGTGAACAGCAGCAGCTCACCCTCCAGCACACAACCTCCCCAGGACAGCAGAGGCTCCATCTTCCCGAAGGCACCCATCAGAGGTCCCTTCCAACAACAATTATTCTGTAATCCTACACAGTGTGAGCAACACTATGGGAAGTGCCTGAACCTCTCCCATAGAGAGCTTTAACATTTCTGGTAGGGCTGAAAAAATGTCTATCTAACCGGCATGCTCAATACACACCATAAACTCACAGGCATCAAAGCTCTTGGGAGGGAAAAGCTGAACAGGAGCACTCACACCTCTCCCAGGCTGTGTTACCCCCCTGCAGCCTCCCAGGAGCTGCCCACCCACAGCAGGACCCCAGAGGGATGACCCCAGCACGCGAGAGCACAGCCTCACTCACGAAGTTGGAGAAGAGCTGGTCACTGATGAGCCGGTTCACTTTCTGGAACTGGTCCAAGTCCCCACTGCCCTTCTCCGTGCAGAGATCCCACATACTCACTGCTGCCAGCGCCTTCATGCAGGCCGACTCCTGCACCAGGGACACATAGTCAGCACAGCCACACTTGCTGCCCAGGAGAAGAGGCCTCCCAGGGCAGCCCAGACCCCCAGAAACCATCCCCTGGCAGGAATGGGTGCAGGAGTGCTGGCCAGAGTGAGTACACACCACGCCGGCAGGAGGCACAGTGCACGGTGAGCCCTGTGGGTTAGGCATCATACCCACTGACTCACCCGGACGTGCTGCAGGTAGAGGGAGAGGTCTCGGATGAAGGACTTGATCAGCCGCTCTTGCATCCGGAAATTTTTCTCTGTCTCCTCAAAGGCTTCATCCTTCAGCTGTGAGAGAAAATGTCTCAAGGGAGCCAATGCAGGACTCCAGCAACTCCCAGGGTGCAAGATGTGGGAACTCCTGTCCAGAAGCCAGACAGCAGAGGTGGGTGGCTGCTGGCCTGGATCAGAGCTGTTCACCAGGGATGGGGTGCAGGCAGACAGCAAACACCACCGCAGAAGCACAGCGGGGTGTAAGTGCACTGACAGCTGATGCACGTTACCTGGGGCGCAAAGCCTGTAAGATGCTTGAGGTGGCTGCTCACACGGTTGGATTTCTTGATGATAGAGTGGAAGTTAAGCTTGGAGATCTTCTCCATGAGGCTATCCTCATCCCCTTTCCGGTATTTTAGAACTAAAGAGATTGATGTAGAAATCAGAACCCCTGTCAGCAAAACACCCATGTCTTACATGTCATCGACAACTGCCTTGCTGGCTCTCCCCTACCCTAAGGGGGAAGTTCTCTGCAGTTTCATGTGCCCTGCATATATCGTATCATAAAATACCATATCAATCTTGAAATCCAGCACTATGCCACCTGAAACCCCCTACGTGGCTCTCAATATGCCCTACAGTTTGGAGGCCCACCATTCAAACTCCTCCATAGGATTATGCACAGTGTTAGCACAAGATGTCATAGGAGATGGTGTGCAAGGTGACTATTGTACATATAGAAGGCATTTATGTTGCTTCTTTAGCAAATATGAGCAATCCTTACAGGCAGCCTATGTCATCTCAGGTTCAGCGGGGCTATGTGGAAAAAGTAAAGTGTGAGATTTGCATGAGACAGAGGCTTCCAAGGGAAAAGAGGGAAGGGGGGCAACAAGTCAAAGGGGATCATTTTCTCCCTCTGTTCAGTCCCGAGGAGGCTGCACTTGGATACCGTGTCCAGTTCTACTGCTGACTCACAGGGAGAGCTCAGGCCCCACACGGAGAGCTGGGGGAGTCAGGCAGGCTCAGCCTGGCTGGGGGGCAGCGGGCAGAGGGGGATCTGCTCACAGCCAGCAGCTACTTGAAGGGCAGCGACAAAGGGGACGGAACCAAACTCCTCTCAGCAGTGCCAGGCGATACAAGGAGAGGCAGCTTGGAAGCTTTGGGGTGGCATTCTCCTCAGAGGTGATGCAGCCCTGGCACAGGTCAGCAGAGAGGCTGTGAAATCCCAGAGGTCAGTGAGAATCGGCTGGAAGGAGCCATGGCTGACCAGAACCAACGCTGGGGACAATCCTGCTCCAAGCAGGAGGTTGGACAGGAACATCAGAGGGCTCTTGCTGCCAGCGCCTCTGCGATTCTGTCCTATCTACAGATGCACCTTTAAAACTAGTCTTCAAATGCAGTAAGACTAAGAGTGGCCTGGCAGATTAGTTCCATACTTGTGTGGTTTAAAATAGCATTTTTTAACATTAAATATGTATTATTTTGCCTTATTATTTTCCTTTAACAGCCACGTGGTCAGCAACTGTATCCATTTCATCCCTCTGTTACACAAGAAAAAGCTGAAGTCAGGTGTGTACTGCATAACTCTATGTGTTGTATCTCATGCTCAGATTTTTAAATGCAGCTCTTTTACTGCCCTGCTGTGAGGACATAGTTTATTGAGGGCAGATTCTTCCCACAACGGTGGTTGCCAGCTAAGGCCTAGGAGTCTTCACACTCCAACCTCAACACACCCACTACTCCTGCCCCTCACTCCCCAGCTCTGTCCAGCCGCTCACCCAGGTCCTTCCGGCGCTTGTATTCGTTGATGTTGACGTTGATTTCTTTGGCCGCGAGGACAGCGGCTGTGAGCGGTGCCTTGTCAGGGTGAGCCTCGGGGGTGGCGTTCAGCAGCTCCATCAGCAGCAGTGGGTACCGCATCACCCTTTGCACTGGCTTGATGAGGAACGAACCCAGGTTAATGTAGTTTGTGCAGCCCCTGGGAGGTTGGGACAAAGGAGATGCGTCAGGTTTCAGTCCAACTCTGCCACACAAATTGTGCCCCTTCAAGCAAAACCCAAGCCAGTCCATTGTACTCCAAGTCACACCACCCTCACCTCCAAACTCACTGCAATCCTGAACATCCAGTGCTCTCAGATCAACCGCAGGTTTCCAGACATCACTCACACTAGGTGACCCTTCCCAGGCAGGATCCTCTCCATCACCAGACCCTCCGTGAAATGCCACACAGGCACAGCCTCACACTTACCAGAGCACCACTTGCCTCACTCTGTCCCACCACCCGCCTGCCCACATCTGTCCCCAGTGCAGGACAGACTGTGCTGAGGACTGCAGTTAGTGCAGGGCTCTCCTGGCTCCTTGGGGCTGATGGCTCCCAAAACCTGTTTCCTGCCCAAGACCTCCCCTTGCTTCATCGCCTGCCTGCGCAGCCTACCCATTGCCTCTGCTCTGACCGCACCACCGACACCTCGCTCCTCCCAGATGTACCTCCATGAGACACCGTTAGGGCCCCCCAACATGCACCCAGCAGGTGATGGGAGGTTAGTTACAAGGAAACAGCCAGGCCAGGCCAGGCCGACAAGCAGAGACTAACAGGAAGGATGCACTTACCACTCACTGTACAGGCTCCTGCCGGCCCACAGAGTGCCAAAAAGCAAAGAAAAGCAATGGGTTAATGGGGCAGCAGGTGTGCAATCCCGCAGCCAGTGCCTTCGCCCCGTCCCGCAGTGATGCTGCCAAGGCAGTGGGCAGCCCTGTCCCTCCCAAGTAGCAGCTGGTACTGCCGGCTCCCAGGGCATGAACCTCCCCAAGCTGGAGCCCTGGCTGTCACTGAGCCAGGCAAACCAGCTCCTTTCCTCACCAGCCATGGTGGGGCAAGGCTTGGAGAATAGGAGTTCTTAATCCAGGACATGCCACCTTCTCTGTACCTTGGTGGCTTCTGCCCAGAGTTTAAGGGGGCCTACAGGTGTCCCAGCACCTACGCACTGAGACCAGGGGGGGTGGCATTTGAACTTGGAGCCCGGTCACGTATGCAGAGACACAGCCAGCCGCTCTCCAGTCACGACCTGAACTGCTGGTAGAGGGGCAGGGATGCTGGAGACGGAACCCCCTACCCCAGCCTGGTGGCTGCCACAGCCAGAGACTCCAACCTGAGGCTATCCAACAGGTCCAAGAGTAGTTTCTGCATCTTCTCATCCTTCTCATAGGTTTCCAGCAGCGCAATGGCCTCATCATGGTTCTGGCAATAAACCCTGTAGACACTCTCCAGCTCAGCACGCTGTGACAGGAACACTGGTCCTGCAGACAGCAGCAAAACAGGACTTCAGTGTCTCCTGGTCCCCAGCTGCCTTCAACAACCCTGGCATATCTCGTGGCGAGACACTCAGTGTCCTCCTCACACACACAGAGCTCAAGAGGACAGGGTTACTAGAGCAACCAGGACATCCCCTCATCACCCTCAGCACGTCCATACATCCTTCCTCCTTCCCTGTCGCTGCAGGCCAGGGGGACAGAAATGGGAAGCTGTGCATCAAAGGTCTGCCAAGGTAAGGAGGCCCCAGGCTGTAGCCAAGGGCATGTCATGATAACTCACCAGGACACGTTCACTCGTGCTTTGAGGGGACTGGTTACCTAGCGGAAAAGCCTCGAGGGGATCCCTAGGAGCCACTAGCCCAGAGACAATCAAACCAGCTCTCCCAGAGGTGAGGAGCAGGGACACTGGTCAGTGGTAGCATGGCTGGGGAGCCACACGGAGAGCCACATTGGGTACAGGCTGCCCAAGGCCTGAGCGGCAAAAGCTGGCAATGGAGGACTGAGGAGTGGGGCTCCCTTCGGGTCAAAGGAAGGTCACAGGAACCATGTTTCTCAGCACAGCAATCCACAGCACAACACAGATCTCCTTGGCTTTGGAGCAGCGACAGGGACCAGCAGGAAGGAAGCCCAACCCCAGTGACACTCTCCTGCCATTTAAACTCCTCTGTTCTGCCCTCCACTAGCAAAGCCCACCCCAGCCTGCTGAGAAAAGCTAACAGCAAAATTCATACCGATGGCATCTGAATCCTCCAAGGTGGACAGCAGCTGTTTGGAGAAGCTAATTACCGTGTGGATGTTTCCAAAAAGACCCTCAAAGTCTATGTTCTGCATCTGGAGAATGGAAAGATAAATGTCCTGGGTGAGGGAACATGTCCCAGACAAACCCACCAGCACCCCCTTGCCCTCCTGCAACCCACCAGGCCTCAGCTCCACAGCAGTCACCCAGTGTGACTTCCTCCCCTCGCAGTGACTCCTGTACTCACTCCCTCATCCCCCACTGCACTGAAACTCTCACCCCTTATATATCTTACCAAACTCTGTGTCCTCCTCTTTACCAACAATTTCATCCCTGCCTCTGTTCAACTGATACTCACCCTCACCTCCCACCAACTCTGTCCCCATGCCAAGACACCATATTTTCTTTTGCCTGACAACTGATTTAACCTACAAAACAAATGAAAAGAGACATTTCCTGCCCCAGGAAATGAATCTGTGACACTTGCTGCCAGGTCTTTCGCTCTCAACAATGGTGAGAACTCAGCAGGATCCCAAAACAGACGAGCTATTCCTGTGAGTGCAGGGAGCAGCGAGAACCATCCTGCTCCCCTCAGCAGAGCTGAACTTCCCATGTGGGGTCCTGTCCTGCTGCTTCTAAGTCTCCAAGAACAAAGTGGACTCAGTATCCTTACTCCATCCCACCAGTGCTGCACTATAGGTTGCCCCTATGCTCCTACCTGTGCCTGCTGCAGAGGCACCATGATCCTCTCCACGCACATCTCCAGGTCTCGGATATAGTCCCGCTCTGTCTGGAGCAGTTCCTCAATAACCTTGGACCTCTTCTCCAGCATCCTTTGTTCTGGGCTCTCGGTGGCAGCTGAGGATGTCTCCAGGGATGGTGTCTGGGAGGACAGGAGAGTCATCTCTGTAAGACAGACAAGCAAGATCAGCACCTGTGCCCACGGCTGTCAGCGAGCAGGCCTGGCCACGCGAGCACCTTCCCGGAGAGGCCACCCCGGGCACTCCCGGCCCCAGGACAGCAGGGAGCCCCGTCTGCCCTCGCAGCACCAGCCACGCTCC